CCTCGCCCCTTCGCAACTGGTGCTGCAGCGTTCCGCGGCGTGCGGGAGACTCCTCGGAGCTTCGGTGCCATGTCCAAGAGAGGTGAGGTCCACAAGCTACGGTGCTGTCGGGGTAATGTCTGCGGAGTAGAGGTAGTTGCGAGGGCCAAGGCAAACAGTCAGCATGATTGGAGAGTGCTGAATGCAAGCTGCTTCGCGGCCGAGCGCCCGGCCCTGGTGACGAATGCGGCAGTGATAAGGGCTTGGACCAATGCACTAGGACTGCCACTGCAGCAAAGGTACGCAAGCATGCCATCCTGCAGCCTACGTGCCGTGTTCGATTGGGGTTCCAGCAGCCTTCTAGCGAGCGTACCTTCCTAGAAGCAGGGCCCCAACGTTCACGCACAAGAGAAAAACTACACAACTGAGAGCCAAGAACCTTAGTAGTAGTTAGTAGTAGTAGTAGTAGTAGTAGTAGTAGTAGTAGTAGTCGTGGTGGTGGTGGTGGTGGTGGTGGTAGTAGTAGTAGAAGCAGTAGTAGTAGTGGTAGAAAAAGTAGAAGTAGTAGTAGCAAGGGTAACAGCAGAAGAAGAGAAAGTAGTAGTGGTAGTAGTAGTGGTAGTAGTAGTAGTAGCAACAGTCGTAGTACTAGAGATAGTAGTGGTAGTAATACTAGCAGCAGCAGTCACGTACTGCTTACATGCCCCAAGTCTGTTTCGTAAAAACTGATGCCCTTCGTGGAGCCTACTGCCGTGCTATGATTTTGCACGGTAAGTTGACAGGGTCCGTCAACTAGTAGACGCGGAGCAATGATTCTTCCTTAGCTGAATCCATCCATAGCTGGCCATTTCGCCATGTTGCCGGTCCATCGAAGATATGCGGCCAAGCCTCCAAATCCTTTGCACGGCCAAGTTGACCTTTAGAGTCCAGGGCGAGCTTGTTCTCAAAGCCATTCACTTCTCCTGCAACAGCAACAGTGAAAACACCTGCAGGGACAAGATATGCAAAAAGCATGCACCTGCTTTGAAAGCCACTTTGCGCAAGGCACCCATCAGCGACCTGGGATGTGACACGCAACCTCACGATGACGACAATATCAGGATCTTCGCTACGTGCTCGTACACTCTTGCGTTAGCTGATGGAAGCTCCAGTTCCAGAAGCTGATGCACAAGCCTGCTGTCTCGATCGAGGCGCTTTAACTTGACTTCGAGCTGGCCAGCTTTTCCTGGTGGGCAAACTATGTGACTTCAAGGACGTGTTGTCAGGGAGTTCATGAATGGTTCCTGCGAGCCGATGCCCAAGCCCTACTCAATTGAGTACATGCGGCGTCACAAGTTCCAAGGTTTCGAGGTGCTCTCGGCAACTTGAGGCGTAGCCGACAACCCCTTTGCCGAGCATCGATCGCGCTCACTGTCAGACATAGTGCGCTTGCAGGCCCACTCGAGATGCCCCAGCAGGTCCTCCTTAGGTCAGCTCAGAAGACACACTGACCTACCTCGCATCTTCATGGTTTCAACCGCATAAGCAGATATCGCCAAAAACGTGTGAACTTCCATGTCGGTAGTGCACTCCAAGCTTCTGTGAGTTCCAGAACTTGGGATAAGTTCTCGTTTGTGACAGCCTTAGACTTCGGAGCTCAAAGACATACTCGAAAACGGCCCGTGTGCGAGCAAACATGTCTGAATTTTCATGGCTTTCCTGAGGACAGAACATCCTCCAGTTCACCATGCGTGTGGCCTGCGAAAACCATGCCGCCATGCCAGCAAAGCAAGTTGAAGAAACCATCGACGAATTTGAACAAACGCCGAAATCAGGGCCGACGTGGACTTCTTGGTTGCTAGATCACAATCCTGCGCAGGTCCCCAGATGGACCATCGGGTGTGTGCCTGTCCGACCGTAGCGATCCGCTTGGCTCTCGGAGGTTCGATCCACCTGGCGATATGGCAAGTCGGGCATTATTGAAGTGACGGCACAGTAGTAGTGCTGCGAGCAGTAAGCAGCAACAAGTGGCACCCGCCCACGTAGGCCCTGTGCAAATGGCTCAATGCTCTGGACCCCTAGTAGCCATTCAGGGTTTCAATTTGGAGTGGATCCAAGGTCAACCGGAGCCTGCCTGGGCTGCCATGACCATCGCTCCCAGCAGAACCTTGTCAGCTCTGCTCGATCACGAGAGAGAAGAGGACAGTGCTTCGTTGCGAAGCCCTACTTCCCACTGGCCTGGCACTCCTCGGTCGTGCATTCGCCGCAGGCTTCGATTTGCACCTCCTCTCCTGGAAATTCGGCGAGGTGCGGCGTCGCAGGGACCGCCAATATTTTCAACTCGGTAGCTTCAACTGTTTGGGGCGGGCAGGTGATGCAGCAACATCGCACAGCAACAGCCCCGAAGTTGCGGACACGCACGTACTCTACTGGATAACCTGCACAGTTTCTGCTGGTCTGACATCCATCACGCTCAGGCACTGGGTGTGCCGGTCGACGTGCTCACGGCCTCGCGGAAGGGGTCTAGTAGGCAAAAAACGACGCAGAACTATCGAGCTGAGTAGGGCCAGTGTCGTGCACTTGACCTAACTTTGCCTTGCTTGTGCCTGTGGAAGCCTACCAGTATATCGCAAAACCGCAGAACCGAGTAAGCAGACCAGCCTCAATCCAGTGAAGCGGATGCAGTGCCACTCCTGTGTCACTGCGTCAACCCGAGCGCTTTGAAATCAACCGCAGACTATATCATACCGCGAGGCCTAGCCTGGTGATGCCAGCAGCTGCCCGAAAACGACTTGCTTGCCTTGGCTGCACTGCGGGAGAGCAACAATGGAGGCTTGGCCCACAGAGTCAAGGCACCGTCCAGGTTCGGGGCAGCACCTGCCAGCACCGACTCAACAGAGCTCGCAAGAGCCGAAGCCCAAGGCCCCACAGGTCATAGGCAGTCATAGGTCCAGGATCAAGGCACCGAGCGTGATCTGAAAGCGGGGATCGAACGAGCTCACGTTGCCGGTTGCCATTGTTAGTAGCCCGGCCTGTGCGCGCAGTATGAGATGAACTTCTTACAATCGGGATGAGGGGCAAGCACGACCCGCAAGAGCAAGGGGATCACCCCTGTGGTCAGAAATAGTATGTTTGTCATGTTTTTCACTGTCGCGAACCCTGGTTCGTGTTTTGAAAAGAGCTTTCAAGGCGGGGCCTTCGCATGCCTCAGAGGGCCGCTTTGCTCGATCGCGTCGAGCTCGAGGCTGGCCTTAGGACCGAGCCCAGGCGCATGAGGTTTTTGCCGCGGCGAAGCACCGGGCTAGGGCTAGAAGCGGCTTGTGCACATCTTTTGCTGAGTCTCGTCGATGTCACCGCCGGTGGCGAAAGTCTTGGTATGCACGAGGTCAAGAAAGGTCTTCGCCTCAGCATCAGATGCCCCTCCTATACGGAGCAAGCTGCCAGCCGAAACGAGTCGGAGCCAGGGCGCATAGCTGACCTTTTCCCCGCTGTCCTCAGCTTACGCTGAATGCTACCGATACTTGTCACCATCTGCACCAGGACACTTTGTCTCCCTGTTAAATTAAGTTTAAGTGAGTACAGTATGAAGCTTGCTCGGCTGCAAGAGAGAATCGTTAGGATGGCCGGCGCAAAGCTTCCGGAAGTTCTCCGCGGCCACAGGCAGCAGGTCTCGAAAAAGTTCCTCACTGCCAATAGACAACAAATTGAGACGACTCAGCACTGCTTCGTGGCTCCCCGTAACCCAACACCCGACTAGTAGCTAGAGCCGAGCAGTTGTGTTGAAGCTTGACAGGAATTCCAAATAGGCAGCACGCATGCTACTTGCACCACTATTTGCACCCAGGTGTCAAAGTGCAAGCGGCCGCGTGGCTTGTCAGCTACCTCGGCAAGGAACATTCGCCAGCTTTTAAAGGTTGACCACTTATTCAACACAATGATGCGATGGACTGCAGAAAAGTACTTGTACTATAGATGATCTGCGGCAGCCCATTTTCTGCTTCCAAGTCACTGACACATCGAACCACACGACCGGGTTCGGCACACCTGCAGCACAAATCGTTTCCCGCTGCCGGCTCAAGACTGAGTGTGCTCTGCCCACAAGTCTTGATGTTCGCTCCAACTTCCGCAATCAAGGGCATCTGTGAAAAAACCAAACAAGCTTGCCTGTCGTAGCTTTTGCAGCTGTTTTCACCTGTGGCAGCGTGAGGAATAAGGTCCAGGCTTGGGTGTTCCGCAAATGACACTGGTGGAGTTGATGCTAAAGCGTTGTCTTCTTTGGCTCATGCAGTTCAACCAAGTACTTCTAACTCACCACTGCAGAGTTTGCATCACATTGCTCAGCACGCACCGTCTCCGATGCAGGGATCTGGATTTTTGTCGCCTTTCGGGGAACCTTCAATGGCTGGGGATTACGATCTCACAATTGGAAAGAAGCAAGCCGTAGAGTCCGTAGAGTCCTCCTGCAGAGAAGACAGGCGCACAGCTTATATAGCAGCAGTGCATAGTGATGGTGAGAAGCTTTCTACTGAAGATCTTCTGGATGCGCGACAGGTTTCGACAGTGTGACACAAAAGATCGCACCACATCTGTCTACTGCTTACGGAACGGTCACGGCGAAGCCGGGATGATGATACCGCCGACCTTTTCACCCTTTAAACCGTGTATAACCGAGCCCCGCCCAGAAGGAGACACGGTTTGACGCCCGCCCGCCTCTGGCTTGGCCTCGGCCTTCGCCTCCTCGTCGCTGTCAGGCAGTGGCCCGGTTCTGGCGTCGCCGACGTCCTCCGAAAAGAAGCCCCGACTTCAATCATAGGCGGTTTCAGGCAGTTTTAGGAGGGATCGGTGTAGCTAAAATAATCCCACCGGCTGGGCAGAAGGTTGCGGATACTCTTCGCAAACTGGGAAAGTAGGGACTCAAGGACTTTGCACGGCCGAGAACCAAAATTACCTGAAGCGTTTTGTGTGGTTTCCACCTACTGTCAGCGATGCCTAGGCGTTTTCGTCAGACCTTCAGAGGCCACGGTGCAAAACACCAAGCCCCCGTGCCTCACGCCTGCAAAACACACCAAAAACCAAACTGGAGGCCTGTTGCCTGCTCTGATCCATGCACATGGTGGCTCCAGCCGCCCACAAACACCCAAAGCTCTTACTCCTCCTCCTCGGCTTCCTTCCAGTCGCGACGCCTGAGATTGCTTTCGATTCGACAGTTTCCCAAGATGATAAGCGCTGCAATCGGGTGACGTATCCAAAGCTTCTTTGGTGGGATTGGGACATTCGTGGAGTCTGTGCAATAGCACGGAGAGGTCTCTTGGGGAAAGTGAATGCAGGATCGAGAAAGCGGCTCAAGGTGGAGCTTATTTTAGGTCACCACTTTTTGGCGCTGCTATCACGCTATCGACAACCTCACCAAGAAGAAGCTCCTGCTCACTCTACACAACGCTTGGAATGCCGCCGAGGCTCTTCTTTGTAGTGGTGGTGGATGCCAAATTATTCACGCGCCGCTTCATGGCCGCAGGTCAAGCGCCTAAATATGCTTGAAACCAGCCATAATCAGCCATAGCTGCCTCATGCTACTTCAGTCTGCGAGTACAACTGAGCTCATGTTATGGCTGCAGTCCCAAACCGTGTTCTGCGCCCCTTGAGATTTTGTTTTTGAAGATGACACTCTTCTGGGTATGCCGGTGTGACATCCGGATGAGGGCCACGCGGCAGAAGAGTGCTCCATCAAGCGCCCTTTCTGCGTTTCTTTTCCCTAACCCCACACCCCGACAAAGCTGTGCAAGCAGCCAGCTGGAAGACTTCAAGGTGTGACTTTTCGGCCTTGGCTAACTGAAGTCAGAGCCTTCGATGCCTGGGCGAACCACGGAGATGTAGAAAGGCTCCTCGCCTGACAGGCGTCAGCCAAGCTGGAGGGGCTTTCGCACTCGTAAAGGCACTAGCAGTTGCGAAGCGACTGCTTGCGAAGCTTCCGTGGTGAAAATCTGAATTCCGGACCCACCACGATTCACACCTATCTGTCGCAAATTAAAAAAAAACTGCAACCGAGTTGTGAACGAACTCCAATTCCGGTTCCGGACTCAACCCGGATCTAGGACATGTGCTGCGTGCAGTGCGCTTTTGCGGAGCGGCGAACTCAGGTCCATCCCTCCCAGGTGGGCAACATTCCATGAACCCACCCAGTCCACTCGCAAAGAGCGTCCAGAAAAGGCTTGGCACAGTACAGTACCTATGCCTTGATGCAATTGTTATTGTCCTTGCTGAAGCATCTTTCAAGACGCAATACGTTAGGGACGCCCATGTGCTTCCCTTCAGGAGCAGGGGCCGGCCCACACATACCCTGTACGATGACTAAAACTGCTCTCGAATGAACGGCACGCAACTCGTCGAGAGACTGCAGAACCTCCCCAATCCCTTGCATCACCCTTTCTGGCGTGATGACAAAACCATCAAAGCCCCAGCCACTTCCTTAGTCTCCAGTGTTTCGAGGCATGCTGTTGAGCTTCGTCGAAACCCTTGCCAAGTTGCTGGTAGCCGACTTGGCCCCAAGCCACTTTCCTGAGTCCAGGTGCCCGAGGCGCACTAGGGATTGTTCAGAAGTGAAGTTCCCAGGGCAGCACGCTCCTTTGAATTCCCGTCAGAAACCCAAAGCTCAAGCTCGCAGCCCTAAGAGCCGAGTAGGAGAACAAACCTTAAACGAAGGTTTTCGAGCGTCTGATGCTCCGCAGCCGCTTCTTTGGACTCGTCGGTGTAGCGACGGCCTTCGTCCTTCCTGGGATCGGCTTCTCCAAACCAGAGAGGGGCGAGGAGCTAAGTACCAGATCTTCCGACGATGTCTGTCCGCTACTCCCTTCTTTCAAATGGGTTTGGAGGGTTACTGACCCTTCGTAAAGTCGGGCTCGCAGCAAGACGCCGGCTTGACCCGAGAACGTGTCGTTTGCACAGCCGCAGGGCGTGCACGGTCGGATGTCAGCGTCTCTAGGACCAAACCGAACAAGTCAGGCTCCCCCAACTGCGTTATGGCTTGCTCGACGGTTCTGGGGTTCAGGCTGTAGTGTGAGGTCTTGCCTCTGAAGGGAAAATTCGAGGTGGTGAGTTCTATGAAGTGCAGAAGCTCTCGAAAACGGCAATCACCCTAATGAACACAGTTGAGTGTCTTGTCGAAGTTCACTGCAATGTCGGCAAAGCCTCCTTTGAACTCGTCCCAGGGCATCCAGAAAACCCCATTGTCCTGCCAAGCGCAGTCGGATAGACCCAAGTATCGGTTAGAATGCGGGTTCCATAGCCAAGGAAAACGCAGCGGTGTTCGAGGGTAAAGCCCCCAAGCCCGACAAACCCGACCGAACAGCAAGAACCACAAAATCCTGCGAAGGAGGATGTCTGCTTCTGAAGACTGTCCGGGAAGCAGGCAGGTGCTGTTCAGTGCTCAAGCAAAAAGCTGTCTAGCGAGCACAATGTGAGGCTTTCAACTTGCCGTCCTTGATTCCAACTTTGTGTCCAGTCGCCTTGAGAGCCTCAGGGCGATCGGAGGCCAGAGAGAGGTGAGCCCAAGTTTTGTCAGGGCCAAGAAGAGAAGCCAAGCAGGCGCACCTCGGGATATGCGTTCCAGGTCTCCCAGTCGTCATCGTGGAATTTCCCGAACCACTCGTTGGTGTGATGAGGATTGCGGACCTTGTGAAGCCAAGGCGCTTTGAGAGTGACTGACTCCTCGCACAACTACATCAGATGCCGCCCCTTTACAGCCACGGAGGCCAGTCATGCCAGCTTGCCCGAACAGGACACTTGCTGGGCTCTTCAACCCATGGAGCGCAACTGGTTTGCCTTCAACGTGTGTTACTTCGACGTGCCAGGTAGGATGTTCGAAGGTGTGATTCAAGTCTGGCAAAAATGGTGCAGCACTCTATGTCCACTGTCCACTTCGAAAATAACGCATCTGGCAAGCTTACTGAAGCACCCTGCACAGCGCTTGTCAGCAAGCAAACAAGCGAGAGTACTAGCAGATTTCGAGATACGAACAACGAACTGCTAGGATGAGGGACGGAACCGGAAATCAAATGCTTCCACATGCCCGAGCGATCGCAAACAAATCACACCTTACGATGTTACCACCACGTGCTGCCTAAACGGCCGGCTAAGCTAGGGATCTTGTGGAAGGGCGGGGAAGGGGGCGTCTTTGTCGCACAGCGACTTCATGGATTGACAAGCAACTTGCACCATGAGCTCTGCGAACCTCTATGCATCTCGCCACAAGGTCGCACTGCGACGAGGCTGTGTGCAACCAGGTGACATGAAGCAGGCGCAGCACCGATGATTTTCCGTCTCTTTCAATGGGAACCTGCCAAAAATTGCTCAGCTTCTAGCTCTTAGAAGTGCAAGGTTCCGGAGGGTGATGTCGCGAGTACTCATTGAAGTTTGATGAAGTGCCAAGGCACACCGAGCCTCGGGATGTCACTGTCTGTTGTGCGTTTCTCCGTGCATGCAAAAGCCTAGCACTGCGCTGTCACGACCGAAGATCCGTCATCCCAATTTCAAACGGTCGCAACTGCCCAAAGTCGACGATGACGCTGGGACCCTGCGCGGCCTCGACCAGGCGGAGAAGCGTGTAGGCATGCCCCTCAAGGATACCCTGGCCGGCGGAGTTGAGACTCCCCGAGTTTGCCAAGTTCTATGGTCTTGAAGAAAAAGCGCTCTCTGGAGAGCAGTCTGACCTACCAGCACAAGAGGAGTGGAAAGGTCAGGCAATTCGAAGCATCACCTGCGGCTTCGGAAGCAACACAGGAGGAGATCTGCCGAATTTGTCGGTGTCTACCGCCATCGTGTGTAGCACAGCTCTGTCGCCCTCCGTTTCTCATGGCCGGGCTGAGCTTTCCAGTGTAGCTGGAAGCATTGAGATGGAGCTGAAGCCAGGCATGACAGGGACATCGAGCGGTGCAAGAAGAGAGAGCAGCGACCACCGGACGATGCCACGCCGAGGTTGCGAGATGAGACAGCCCAGGTGGCTGCAAATGACAAGCAGGTTGAGCAGTTGAGCAGTAAATCCCAAACCGCCCAGGCCCGCATCTGCATATCCCTACAGAGAAGCCCGGTACCGCCAGTGAAACCCCGCCTTGTATTCCTGGCGGCTCCCACAGCCTCAGGGTCCCAGAGAAGTCCCCAGCAACCCGGTCTTCCCCTCAGAAACCAAATCTCTCTGGGATCCTTTGCTTTTTGGGTCGAAGCCCAATAAGGCAGAGGGGACATCCTTGTAAACTGCTTATGCTTCTGTCCTTTCTCGGCTCCTAGCTTTGGGTTTAAGGCATGTCCCTTTTGAGCATGCAGAGTGGTGGCCTCCGTGCCTGGCACTCATGGCACAGGGGAAGGTACACATGATAGCAAACAGCCTTATGCTCCGCAGTACCTGGGTGCCCTGCAGAGGCTGTAGCCATCGCCGTTCCAGGCACAAAGCTTGCCCCAAAGCCAATCGTCCGAGAGCTCCTCGGCAGCTTCTGCATGGAAGAGGGCAGTTGAAGCGTTGCACGTGGCTGCATTAGGCCAGGACCACAACTTGATGCAAAGCCCAGATTCTACCTGGCCCTCGCACATGACAGAGGCATCTTGGCCCCAAAAGCCCCAGCCCGCGTCGTAGCTGTGCAGGCGCATATGAACCTGAAATGCCAAAGACAAACTTCGCATGCTGCTCGCACTTCCTCAGAAACTTGAGAAGTGCTAAAACTTTTTCAGAGTCTCTGTCGCATGCTTGGCCGATCCTTCTTCCTTTCCACACAGAAGCACCTGAGTGCAAGCACTCCCTAAGCCATGAAACTCCTGCAGGGGGCGCGGCTGAAAACATTTGGGGAACTGGGAGGACCGCCATAGTTTTGTGTTTCTGACTTCCTGCTTCTCGGAAAGATGGCGAAAGCCAGGGACTTGTCCAAGCCAAGGCACATATGGTGAGTGCATTTCGGTCTCCAGATTGCTCACCTGAATGTTGAGAGATGGTTTGCCTGCGATCCGGGACAGGATCCGTCTCGGCTGACCAGTTCAAGACATGTTCGATGCATGCCACATGATTTAGGTTCCCCCAGGCCTGTCAACATCTCCAATGCCACAGCCTCAAAGCCACCGTCGATTCTGTGATAAGACTTGACAAACTTGGCAACGGCTTTCTCGAGCAAGCAAGTCCAAAACTCGTTCTCCTTCGTGGGCTTGGCAAAGCAAAGCGTGCCATGTTTGCCAGGCCTTTGCCAGTATGGCAAGCGGTCGTCGATTGTGACGACCTGCCACTCTTCTGCGAGCGGGTCGTAAAGACGGATATCATATCGTCCATCCGCTGTGAGTTCGTTCTGCTTGAAGAGCGACCGGACGCGGTCGGGATACTCAGCAATGGCAGCAAACGAGGACACAAGCCAGCAGTCCCCAAGGTAACCTGACGAAAGGCCGAAAATCGGACTACATGCTGGTTCCTGTCCTGCAGCTTGCAGCGACGCCTCGGTCTAATGTTGAAGGCATTCATTGATACGAGAGAAAGAAAATGAAAGAAATGTGCCCTCCGTATCTCTCGCTTGCTTTAGATGTGTGCCCGCAGCGCGCCCTCAGCCCTTTGCCTGCTCACCAGATCCCCCAATCTCCGTTCATGCCCGCGCAACTCCGACAGCAGTTGCTGCATCAAGAGCACACGAGGAAAGAACCAGTCAAACGGCTTCGAACATGACAAATGGCCAGCTGAGCCAGGTGGCCCTGCTCGATGTCCCTGGGTGACACGTGCTTGAAAAGGCAGGGCTCGCCCTCCGTCGCAAAGAGCTTGTACTTGCTCGCCTGCTAGGTTGGCCCCTCAAGGCCTCTGAAAAATATTCGTAATAAGATCCTCGTAAGCCCAATGAGGGAAAATATCAAATGTCCCAAAGGCCTACCTAGCCTGCTTCCCGACCATCTGGCGCGGTCGCGCCCAGCCGGGCACCACCAGCTTCATCATCTCCACCTCGGACGGAGAAGAAAACCCCTAAAAAACCCTGGAACGCCGCACCATATATACCCCGGCAGTAGGATGTAAGGCGCCTTACACCAAGGCAAAAAGGGAATCGACCGAGGAGCCAGGTACTCTGAGACCTGTGGGTTCGCCTGGTCTCCGGTGATGCCACCCAAGCTGGCATCCGTTGGTGGAAACTCCGGATCTTCGTAGAGGCCTCCCCCGGTCCCCTGGGCCGTTGCGGCAGCGGTCCCTTTGAGGTCCGGCAGCTGAGGCAAAGCGCCGGTGGAGACACGCGGCAGCTGGATTTTTCGCATGTGCATGCGGTTCTTGCTGGACACGACCATCTCACTCTGTGGTCCGCCATCGCCGCTGCACGTGCAGTTGCCCATAGCTTAAGGAGGCTTCAGCTGGAGAGCGGGCCAGGTGCTCGAGCAAAAATGCCTGCCCTGCTGACCCTTCGAACTTCCAAGCTCCATCCAGAATCCAAAAAATAAAAAGACCTGAGCCCGGGCCAGGTTGAATACTTTATCCCATTTGGGTGCGTGTGACTACTCTGCTGTGTGTGTGTATAGGTACATGTGCATGCCCATCCATGTATGTACGTGTGCATGCGCTGTAAATATGCATGTGCATGTGCAGCAGCAGGTTATGTGCAAACATGACGTAGACACATGGGGTACAAACTGGGCATGCAGATCATGCAAAAACGCACATACAAACATGTGAACGTGCACGCATGCAGGAAGCGCGCACAGCGCGGAATAAACACGGGAGTAGGCCTCTCAGAGCCTCCTCCAGCACGGTCCGTAGTTCCGGGGCGCTCCCCCGAGTGCCTGCGACAGCGACGATGCGGTCGTGGCACCTTCGCTTTGCTGCTTGGTGCATTGCTCTTCTTTGGGGTTCCGGTTCATGGCCCGGGTTAGTTCCTTTGGAGATGGGAAGCTCTGGATGACGAATGCTGACCACACAAGCACGATGCTGAGATTCGGTTGTCAAAGGCACCACGACGAGCAGGACGTCGGCGCTGGCAGTGTTGGTGCGGTGACAAGAGTTAGGGTTGACCTCATGTTTGTTATGCTTCGATTAATCTGTTGGTTTCAGCTTCAGACTTGAAGACCAGCCCCCGCGAGATCCCTGTAAACGAAGTCGGACACTGCTTTGATCAACACGGAAAAAGATTCTGAGGCGCTGAGATTGTGAGCCTCAACACCGCCCAGCCACTGGAACTCTAACTTTAGCGCCTGAGCTCTGCCCCACTGGCGCCCAGGTCTCGAGTAGCATAGAGCGAGACCTTGGCTTTTCGAGTGCTCTTTCTACGAGGTTAGCTTGCAGAATCTCGCGTTCACGTCGGATGCCCAGCAAATTCTTTAGGCGTTCCTAAAAGCAGAACGGTTAGTAAGCCAGCGGCGCCAGAAGGCAGGGATGTGATGAGAGATAGCTCCTGGCGCGAGAAGCATTGACGCAGGGGCGGCCAAACTTTCACGAGAATCTCCACTCCTTCTGTGCCGGGCCTGTGTGTGTGGAGCGAGCGCTTTCGCGGAAAGGCGAAGGCGCCGAGGAGGTGGCCGCTGCACCAGCAACTGCAGGCCTTCCGGAGATGCTAACCTGAGAAGCACTCGGTGCGGCACAGCAGGTGCCGATGGGCAGAACTATCGTTTTCGTCATGTCGGAAACTTGGCTCGCTGCTCCAGCATATCGGCGATAGCCCCTGCCTCTCAGCGTCTCTATCCCTCCACTTTTCACGAACTGCAAAGCCTGAACCCTGAATGGCCGCAAGCATGAAGTGAAGTGTTAATTGCCCGAGGCTGCTGTGGGAGAGAGAGAGAGAGAGTGAAAGAGAGAGAGAGAGAGAGAGAGAGAGAGAGAAAGAGAGAGAGAGAGGGAGAGAGACAGGGCGAGAGAGAATGCTTGTAGCACAGCGAAGGAAGCCAGCTACTGATCAAAGCCCAGGATGCAGGTGTCAGACTGAATGTCGGCGGTGCAGGCAAGGTCACAGCTTCACACGTTGTGAGATAGACTCTGACGCCACGATGAGCCCTCCAAGCTGCGCGTTGCCGCATGAGCAATGTCTGGGAATGGCTTTGCCCTGAATGTGATCGGCAGAGACCATCCCAGACCCCAAAACAGTCAACAAGTCTCGCCTCACTCAAGTCGGGGACACTCCTAGACAAAAGCCAGAAGCCGCTCTCGGTACGGGTTTTCCTTAAAGCATGGGCCTTGCCGCAAGCGCCTGCGGCCTTCAGGATGAAATCGCCCACCTCCGCATTCAGAAGCTGAAGGAGCAGCAACAAAAACACCAGGCTCCAGGGCTCTCCGGGCCCCCCTTTTTTTCCCAAGGGGGGCCCCAAAAAGGGCACCCGAAATCCAAAGGGAATGCTTCTCCCACGGGTTCGGTGGCCTTCTTAGTCCCCTGACAGCATCACAGCTCCAAGATCAAAGTCCATGGGCCGCGGGGTCGGCTCTTGCATTCAGAAGCCCAGCAGTAAGTTCATGTTGCGGGCCTGAAAGGAAATCTCTTCCGAGGTTCCTGGTGTTCGTATCTACAAGAACTTCCCATCTTTGATACCATGCGCCATGCGCAGTGCGCTTCCGGCTCCGGCGGTGTCGGCTCTTGCGTTAGTTCCCACCTTGATGCGGTCGGCGTCCTGTACAGTGGCGTTGTATTTGTCAACCTCGGAACACTTCGAGCAGCGGAAGCCTTTCCCCGTGACCTCTCACCCAAAGTAACTCTGGATTGCCACGAGATACGTTACCGGTACCGTGCAAGACGTTTTCTTTCTCTCCCCCGTCATCTCTCCCTTGAGAAAACCGGCCGAGCCCCTGGCGAAACACCCAGGTGCAAGGGAGCCTCGCAGTGAAAGCAACATGCTGGCAATGATTGGGCCACGCGGCCAAAAAACTGTGCATGAGGGGAAGTCCTGTTTGCACTAGCTACAGTGCCATCGCGCCGAAGAATCCACAATGCAGGTTTCGACCAAGGCTTGGATCGGCTTCAGTTGAGAAGCCTAGCTAATGGAGCTCGAGTGTACAGTGTACTCATGCCACTCCCGTTCGCGAAGAGAATGCGAGATGGCTCGTGCTTTCTGGCGTGTGGTCTGAGAGCTACAGCCGTCGCAGGTGCTCAGCAAGCCTGTCGGTAAGTGGACACAAGGCCTTGAATTTCAAACTGCGCAGCCCACTTACTCGGATGACTGGGCCAGGCCGCAGATCTGAGGTATGGCAGGGTCCAGGAGGTCCAGCCCCAGGCCCAACCTCAAGGGAACTGGTGCTTTTGCAACTCCATTCAGTCGACTGTCCTATTTTACAAGTCTGGCTTGCAATGGGATGTCTGGCAGGCAGACATGTCCGCTTGCGTGAAACCACATTCAAGCTTCCGTGCTCCCAAACTACGGGTACACGGAGAGAGGCTCAGGTCACTGGCGGCGGCATGACAAGTAGGCCGCGAGCGGCTCGGCATTGCGCGGGGGCAGGCAAATCTGCCGGGCGCCGCGTGCTCGCAGCCTCGGCAACAAGCATTCACGAGAGGAGTGGAGCCTGGCTGCAAAGATCATCATGTCTGTGCTTGCCGTGTGCTCGGCAAAGTTCGGCCAGGGGCCGGAGCAAGCATCTCCAGATTCCATGAAAGAAAACTGGGTGTGCTTTGTTTGAAAGCTGCCTGGTGGAAGGCTAGCTTGGGCCCTGGCGAGCGTGGAAGAAGCCGGCGACTGAAAGGAAGCGGGAAGCGTTCAGGGTCGATGCAGCGGGCGTCTGCGTCTCTCTCCGTCTCCCAATTCTCTAAGTGGGGAAAGTGAGCAAAACCAGAGGTTCGCTGACATGGCTCGGGCCATGGGCTTTGAAAGTCCCTAGGGGATCAGACGAGTTCGGATGTCGAAGCTCTAGCACCCACTCACCTGTCGCCGCAAAAAGCAGGTCACTTGGTGGCCTCCCATCGCGGTCGTCGATGAGTTTGATGCGCGTCCGCTGCAGCTCTGCGAAGAGGATCAGCAGCTTCCTGAAGTGAGCGCGAGGCCGCTGCGGGACCGTCACTTTGCCGCATGTCGGCCCAACTTTTCAGAGTCTGCTCGTACCGACACCGGCTTCTGCGGGGACCCTCCCGTCGTTGCATCTCCAAGGCTCGGCAACAAGAAGACGTTGGCCTTGGCAGTCCAAGTCCGGCGTTCACATCGAGAGAGCATCTAAAGTAGCCACCTAGTACACGTGGTATAGGTATGTATCGGTCACTTTCCTTCGGGCCCTCAAGCTTATGCCCTTCAGCGGAACAGCTGGTGCCGAAGAGGAAGCCAAGGCCTCGGCAGGGACGCCCTGAGCGTGGGCCCGCTGGTAAACAAACTGCGAGAGCAAGGACACAAAGGCCTGTCAAGAGCTATGCGGCTGCGCTTTCTGCGTGAGAGGGGTGGACTGCAACTGCAACAGCTGCAAGGTGTGTCGACAACCCATCATGTAATCATGTACTGATCAAGTTGGGTTTGGTAGTAAGCCTCGGAGGCTGCGCGCAGGCTGGCCATCCAGCCCACCACCTCTGTGCTGCTCGCGTTCTCTTTCCAACGTATACACTCGGCACACATCTGAAACTGATAATACTTCCTGTTTACCGTGCCGGATGATGAAATCCAAGAGCTTCATGCCGTAACATGGCCTCAATGCCCTGCTTTTTTCGTTTCTGACTCCCATGAAGCTCGCACCACATTGCCTCGCCGCGGCCCACACCGCAGCTCTGCGCCTGCAAGCGTCGCCGGACAAGGCATCCAGCTAGCTCGCATCAAAATGTCGTAATCACCGGCCCTAAGAAGAAAAGGAAGGTGTCCAGCACGGGTGCGCTGTTGCACGTCATGCATTGTGTCTTGGCACCCCCCTTTGCTGCACCACAACCCGCGTCTGGTCGGACGTCTGGAAGTTTAGCTGCCCACTACGCAGCGCCACAGAAAGCGACTTTAGCAACTCTTTCGAGCCAATGCTGAGCCTGCGCACCGGCACATCGCATGGCTTCAACCTGCGAACTTGCCTGTGTCCAGTCATGCACTCAATCCCAGAATGAAAAGAGCCCGAAACCAGCTTGCCCGGGGTAGAGGTCAAAGTCGGATAAATTGGAGAAACCGTTCACCCTGCCAATGTTGAAGACGCCTCCAGCCTCCTCCACGAGCCAGGCTGCCGAGACCAAGCGACGTTGACCTCCGAGGCTCAGGGGCGCCAGGCCTGTGACAAGCCGCGACCTGAAGAGCAGCGGCTTTGAGGCTTTGAGCACAGGATCTGGCCGCTTTTGGGGAAATGGGGAAATAGAGCCATTTCCAAAAATCTTCGAACAACGAGCTTCCGTGCTCTCCTTTTCATGGCTTGAGGCTCGGCAATAGGCTGAACATTGCGTAGGATCGTCTCTCGGCCATGTGACTACACCAGAAGGAAGGTCTAGCAACGGCTGCACATGAGACGAAGGGGGGGGGGTGGTTTGCAAAAAAGGTATCGAGGGTGTTGGGGAGAAGGCAAGACTGCTTGCTCTAGCCTTAACTTTAATCCGTCCCTGATATGCCCTGTGCACGTCTTCCTTACATGCCTCCGGAAGCAGAGGAAGGCCGCGAAGGATGCCATGTGGCAGGCGGAGAGAAAGCGATATTCGCCCAACCGCCTCCATACATCTCAGGCCGTGAGGCTGCCAACGAAACCGTCAAATCCCGCAGCAAAGCTCGAAGCCCCGATTTCCGCTCTCCCGCTCCTTCAACTCGAGGTTTTGGATTTGAGCATTGTCGTCCCCGCCCAATGAGAATCCCTGTGGCTTGCTGAGAGGCAGCTACAGATGACAAGTCTTGGTCCGTGCTTGAGAAACCAGGACTAAGTCTCCGCCCAGAACCCCAAAAGAACCGCTCCACTAGTGGTCGAGCTATGTCTGTGCTCTGCGCCTGAGAAGAGGTCCGCAAAGGCCACCTGACTTTTTCGCTTTCCGTTTGCATGCCAAATGGGCAGACAAGGTGACAAGGCCCTGCTCAACCCAAGTAGGCCAGAAACATGAAGCCTTGCAGCTTTTTGATGGTTCGGGCTCGCTGTGGCGCTCTGGCTTTCTCAGCCTCCTTGCTTCCGGCATCGACGAAGACAGAAACACACACCCAGGATGAGGAGAATTGGTTCATCCCCCAAACCCTGAAACCCCCTCCATTGAAGGGGGCGGCGTGCGTTTGCACCGGGCACCGGACCGGAGGCCAGTGTCATGCCGAGGCCGGAGGTCCACCAGGCCCGGTCGCCAGCCTCGCGCGGGGAGGGAAGCGAGGACACACAGCTTGCAAGGGACTCCCAAGGCCCACGCGGACAGGAGACATTGCGAATGTGGCCCCGGGCAACGGACTTCGAACTGCCCGAGTTCTTTTTCCAAGTACACGGACCGAAAACCATTCAAGAGAGGCGCAGAAGCTAATGCCATGATTCCCCTAAACCCGAAGCTAAGCACAAGCAGCGGCACATCTTGGCTCCAACTCCCCGCTCCAGGCCCCAGGCATCCCAGCCGAGTTTCAGCTGAAGGGCGGCGACCTGGTCTTGGACAACCTGGCGACACACGATACCAAGTGTAAACATAAAAAACACATATCTATATCTACACGAATCTACACAGCTACGTAAATCATAGATGAAAATAGATGGACACGCAGGCCTTCACATTTCACATGCTCCGGGGGTCTGCGGGTCCCGCCTTGCCCTCGACGAGGCAGTGCAGCGCGAAGAGCTCGGCCCGACGCCGGAGCCTTGGACCGGCGGTGAAGAGCCGCAAAAACTGAACCTTAGGGGCCGCTTGGGCTGGGGCTTGGGCCGGGTGATGAAGATGAGTCGTTATGAGGGGTATCGTTCATGTTTTGCTCTGGTCGCCAGTTTTGCTGCCCTTTTTCCTGACGTGTCATTCACGTCAACAGTCAAGAAGAAGCCATGAAACACTCATCGAGGCACCACCATAGTTTCCCCACGACAGCTTTGCAAGCGGCACTTTCGATCATGACGACGACGGCGATGATGACGACGACGACGATGATGATGATTGTGGTGATGAGGATGGTGAAAATCGCGACTAGCAGCACCTGAGACATGAGAAACGTAAAAGAAGTGAGGTGAATGTTGAAACCCAGCCTTGATTCAGGGATGGCCCTCTGGGTCTGTACACAATTGCCTGTGCATCTGCAACTGGTTGGTCAAGGAGTGCGTCAGAACTGTACGTTGCATGCTAGCAAAGCTGGACAGGTAAAAAGTAAAAGTGGTTCTAGAAGCAGGAGCCGTGTTGGCAACAACGCCGATCCTGAAATCGTTGCATCGTTGAGATCGTCACTTCCCTGCTGCACTAATCTGCCCTCGACCCGTGACTGAACTCTTGAGGCAATCTGACCCATCTTTCGGCGAAAGCGCGGGAGCCAGAAGCGCTCCAGCACCCTGCAACGAGGCTAAACAGGACTGTGGAGTGACTTCTGACTACAATTTTTGTTGTACTTCTAAAGCAACCTATATCCGAAACCTCGCTCTTTTCTCTGGTTCCCGCTGGCCTGACCCCCTGGGCTGACTCGTGAAAGGTGGCCCGTCGGGCCTCGGAAGCGAAACTGAAGAGAGGTGCCAGACAGGAGCATGCGGTATGCTCTATGCACTCTATGCATGCTGCTTCTGCCGCTCTTGTGCGGTTTGTTACTTTCTTGTCCTTTGCTTTTTTCTGCTCTGAGCTTCGCGCTGGATGCGGGTTCAGGTTCAAGCGACTCGTTGGTCTCCTGGCGCACCCCGGCCAGGACAGCCCAGGACCAGCGCCCGAGGCTCACAGACGCGCGGAATTCGGCAACTTTGGGGGCCAGGCGTGTGACGCATGCAAGCTGAACGATCAAAGCGCGAATTCGCGAAGGATGACAGAGGGCTTAGTGAGTGCACTGTGCAAGCGGCTACGACTGCAGGGCACTTTTTGGCGTCATTCAACTGAAGAACGAGTATGGAGCTGTGGGGTCTGGCACGGTACTGCAGCTGTTCATGCCTTCGGCAAGCAGCAAGCAGAAGAGTGCCGGGTGCCCTTCAGGGCTGCACCGAGGTTTCAAAGTGCGAGGCAAAAGGCAACTGCTTCAAGCCGAGGCCTTTCGCCGGTCAGTGCCGTGAGCTACAAAACGATCCTGCAGAGTCCACCGGTTGTGGGCTCAGCAAAGACCAACCTAGAGTTTTGTCAAGAGACCGAGACCGAGATCAGAACATGGGAGTACTCTCTAATCAAGAAGGACAACCTTGTTTTGATCGCGAAAGCACAAGATACTCCCAAAAGGAACGTATCTCAGTCTCAGGCATCTTTGCTATTCCAAGGCCGAAGCCTGAAATTTGTCGGATGGGATCCCTTGGACTCCTCGAAGGTTCCATGAAGGAGACGGCTCCTTTTCTCCAAGAACAATGCCCCTTTTCTTTGAAGTTTAAAGGCTTTCTGTGCCGTTTCCCCATGAATTCCTGGTCCAAGGGCGAAAATCCCGTCTGCTCGTGGGTGAGCATCGGAGAAAAGCCCACGGAAGCCTGGGCTGCATGCCGGGCTTCCAAAGGCTTCCAAAAATGTTCATCTCGCTGGGGATGAGCTCAGTGCGCTCAGATCGTCAACTCCTCCTCGGTTGATGTTGACGCTTAATCCGACTTGGCACAGTGGTTGGGCTCCATCAATGCGTGCGCACCGAACCCTGAGACTTCAACTTCACGGCACCTGGAAAGCAACCCTGGGCAGTCCTTCGAGGTCTCGTCCTTGCAAAATGCAGGCAGCACTAGATAGCCACTCAAGAAATCACCAGATGCATTCGACGACAGACCAAAAAAACTCAAGCCTTCGCCTCCAGGTTCACGAGGTCTGGCTTCGATCCCTGGGCCTGGCGCGGTTCTGACTTTCCGGAACCGTTCGCGGCTCCCGCATCCTGGCCCTGGCCTCCTCCTCTACCTCCTCATCCTCGCCCGGCAGACCGTCCAGCTGCTTCAGCTCCTCTTCGGTGAACATGAACCTCATGCCCTTGGGGACAGGCGGAAGGCAGATGCACCGGCTTCCGTGGGCGGAAGGCAGATGGAGTCGTTGCTTCATGCCGTGCTCTGACCCGCGGAAAACTCGTTCGTTTCATGGGGTGCAGAGAAAACCAAGTCACGGAGGCTATGCACAAGCTGGCGCGAAAGCACCCAACAGGTTGTCAACCCCTTTCCGCAGGGATCTACTCGCAAACAGGGTTCTGAGGATCCTGCCTTGCGAACAATGGCCAGCGATGCCATGAAGAACGGGAACACGACCGATGTCTCCTGTGACGGGCACCAGCTGGGTCTTGTGCTAGGACCTATGACTGAACAACAGCCTCTCGGCCAAAAGAGTCAAGCCAGCAAGCGTCTCCGTACCAACACTGGTCTATACCAGTCTACTTGAGGGCTGTCAGGAACCTCTTGGATGACAAACAACACTAAGCTGATGCCTGTCCTTGATGGCTTTCAAGCCATAGAGAATGCCAAGGCAGATGACCTGTAGGCAAAGCATGGACGCACGAGGAAGACCTTCGGATTTACCGAGGCGCGGGCTTGGACAAGGGTGTACAAGTGCACACGCTGGATCGGAAGCTTCTGGACGTAGTGATACTGAGGGTACTTCGCCGGGTCCCAGATGAGCCACAACTTCAGCCTGTCAAAGAGGTTGTTGCCTGTCAAAGATGCAATGCCCATGTAGAAGAACACGCCCTGCAGCACAGCACGCGGCAGGAACTTCAAGGCAGGTGCCAAGAACAGTGCACACCCGATCAGAATGTGGATGATGAAGTTCGTGGCTCGCTGCTCCACCACCTTCACAGGCACTTTGCGTTCACCTTCGGGAAGCTGCTTCACATCGTAAGTGGTCAGAGAGATCACATGGGTGATGCTCGGCACAGTCGAGGCCACTGAAAGTGGGAGCCCCAGCACGGCGCAAACAGGCAGCGTGAGTGCCCCGCGCACAAACAGGTCCTGGGTGGCATCTATGCACAAACCCATTGACCAACAAGACAATTGGTTTTTCAGCGGTCCTCTGCACAAACAGTACGACAGCGCCAACAGCGTGCAAACGCACTGTTGTGCGTTGGATCTGGAATTATCTGAAGTTTCTTGTTTCGGTTCTTTGGGCCAGGCCTGGGCGCCGTGTTCATTCCACGTGTCGCTGTCGTCTAGGCGTTGCACATTCAAAAACCGCAAACGACGACCCTGCCGATTTGTCCAGACGCCGGTGTCGCTGTCGTCGAAGCGCCGTGCTCATTCCAAATCACGAACGACGACCCTGGCTTGAAGACGTTTCCAGGCGCCTGTGTCGCTGTCGTATATCTTAAACCCTAAACCCTCATTTGGCGATTCCGGTTCATCATATGCCTTAAGCAACCCCCCCTCATTTAGCGATTCTGGCTCATCGTAGATCTTAAACACGTCCCCTGATTTGGAAATTCCGGTTCATCACATATCTGAATCACGCCCCTTCATTTGGCGATTAATCCGGCTTAGCATATATCTTAAAGTCGTAGCCTTATTTACAATTTCCGGTACGTCATGCACCTTAAACACGCCCCACCATTTAGCGATTCCGGTTCATCATATATCTTAAACACGCCCACTCACTTGGCGAATCCGGTCACCATTTATCTTAAGAAAGGCCCGTCATTTGGCGATGTCGGATAACCACATGTCTTAAACGCGCCCCCTCATGCGGCGATTCCGCTCCATCATAAGCCAAAAACACGTCCCCGGTTGCATCAAAGGCCTTGAACGCCGCCACCTCATGTGGCGATTGCGGTCCATCATAAAACGTCCCCCCCCATTTGGCGATTCCGGTCCATCATATGCCTCAAATGCGCACCCTCATTTGGCGATTCCGGGTCATCATATATCTTAAACACACCCCCTCGTATGGCTTGCTCATTTGACGATTCCGGTTCATCATTAATACATCTTAAACATGCCCCCTCGTTTGACGATTCCGGTCCATCATATATCTTAAGCACACCCGCTCATTTGGCGATTCTTGTTCATCATATATCTGAACCACGCCCCTCGTTTGAAGATTCCTGATCATTGATCCTAAGCCCTAAACCCTAAGCCCTCCCGCTCATTTGGCGATTCCGGTTCATCACATGCCTTGAACACCCCCCATCATGTGCCCTCGTTTGCATAATGCCAAAAATCACCAAAAACGAAACGCAACAAGCAAACAAAACAAACACGTGAAGCAACACCAAGCAAACACAACCAAAAACAAAATACAAGCTACATGCAAACACAAACACAGCAAAATAACCAAAATGAAGAACTGCATTGTCATTGTGGAACACAAAGACAATAAAACTCACAAACGACAAACTCCCGAGATAATTCGGATTCCTTTTATGTTACGTTCGGCTCAAACACCACTACACGCAACAATGACGATCCAGATGCTGTATTTGAAGGTGTGAGGCCTACCTGCTTCTTCAACTAACAAGAACGACAATTCCAAAACAGTCCAATTGCCACCTCGGGTCAAGGTGGTAACCAGGGGGCTTCTTCAGACCGTTGGAGGGCCTGTTCACAATCACAGATGTCAAGTTCTGATCCAGGTAGCCCAAGACCGCGAATCCAATCGCCTCGGTTGTGCTCGAGACCCGAAGGACATCAGTAATGAACATGCTCCCCTGCAGCACCAGAGTACAAGAGACAAACGTATCAGAGGAAAAGGCACGGGCAGAATCGCATAAGCAATGCCATAAGCTGGGAATGGCCGCTCGATGCCCGACGGATTCACAACCCAGGGCCGCTTGCTGCCATCGGCCAAAACCAGATTTGGGGACAAGTCTGCGTCCACCTGCAACATCCTCAGGTTGGTCTCGCTGGAGTACAGGGCGGCCCAAGCAGAAGCGGTAACCAAGGCGATGGTCACCGCGAAGTTCGCCGCGAAGTTGCGGATGAATCGCAAGGACCAAGGTTTTCGGCGAAATGCGGACAACCATGTTGAAAGTCCGAAAGTGTACAGGAACAGCAGTGCCTCGTCAGTTCGAAGAAGTTAAGAGGATGCTAGGCCTAATTTTCTGCCTCGCTGAACATCAGGCCCTCCTACTAGCAGTGCCTCGAACATGGCGCTCACAAGAGGCATCCTTTCCTCCGTGAAATTCTCGATGATTGGCCTGCCAGCTGGTACTGGACGGTCTTGGGGACGGACAAACCCTGTTTCCCTTGCAACTCATGCGACAACTACACATCTTTTGCAACACAGCACTTCTACCTACTGCTTGAGGCCTCACTCCATCGATGATGAAGATGAGCGAGATCAATCCTACGCTGTTCGTTAAAATAAGCATATCCTTTCTTGAAGCAGTTGTACTGTAATCGGCACCCAGAAAGAAAAAGCAAACACGTTGTATTGCTGATTAACCTGATGCCTAGAATCCAGCGAAGATGTCTTCCGAAAACATGGTGACGTGCTTCATGAGCGCGCACAAGTCGAAGACGGCGACCAAGATAGTAAAGAGGGAGCACCACATGCAAGTCCAGAAGTAGAAGGGCATGAACCTCGGTGCCCGGACAAGATCCGAAACCCTCCTCATGTCACTATTGAGTCTAAAGAAAGTGTGCTCTTTGGGCCCTCGGAGCTCTACGTCGACGGCGATGGCCAGGTCGTAGACGACAAGGGTGTAGGCCAGGAACGGGCCCGTAGCACCGAGAATCGACAAGGGCTGACCAGCTGTAGTGGAGAAGATCATCCCACTAACACAGGTCGACATGATCATCTCCAACACTCCAAACTGGCCGTTGGTACCATCGAGGAAGCGGCTGCCGAAGGTGATCGCAGGGGCCAGGGCTGCTATGAACCTGACATCGAAACTCCCTGAAGAGAAGCACGCTGTTTCGAGTTATGTTGAACCCAACATGTTCAAATGCTGACATTGGAGAGCTGAGGAACAAATACAAGATGGATGACACCGACTTTTGGAAGTTCTCGGGCAGGAAGGCATCTGTCCAATCGCTGCACCACAGTGGTGCCCTCCTGCGAATGTCGAGGCGAAGACCGCCCGCTATTTTTCCCGTGAAGTCCAGTGGCCCGTAATCTTTTTTCGGGGCATGGGCAATATATCCGGACTCGTAGCGGTACACGGCTTCGGCCTCTGCCATGCTTCGAGAGGTAGGCGGGGATGCACTGGATGTCTGAGCTCGTGAGCCAAAATCACTACGGGTACGCAGCTTGTAAAAACCCAAGAGCTCTTGCATCCAGGCAGTGACAGCAGGCCCCCAGGTCCTGCAAGAACCTCGAAGCCAAGGCATAGTGAATCCTCGAGGTCGGAAGCTCGAGGGGATTGGGCTTTGGGCCTGAAGAGTGCTCGAGGTGTTTGGCGCATTTCTTGCAAGACATCGCTTGTAGAAATAGAAGACACCAAGCTGGCAGCCCCTGAGATCCTGACTCAACCACTATCGTAGCTTGGGCGTAAGCTAACACGCAATACAACCGTGCGTTACGCCCCCCTCTCTCTCATCGCGTCTGATCATACTGAACAGATTCTTTTCGGATCTATTTGGCGCAATTTGTAGGCCCATTGACCAGCAAGGTATGGGTTGTTGCTATACTACGGTCATGTATACGGACATCTATGTATACGACCCAAAGACTCGCAACAGCCTAGACAGGAAACTGAAGACCATGAGCTCTAAATGAACAGTAGAACTCTCGAAAACCGAACTCAACACAATCCCCCAGGAGCTAGATCCTAAGGTCCTAAAACCTAAATCCTGAAGCCCTATAAACCCTAATCCCCAAGGCACTACAAAAAACCCAATCCCTGCACCCATAAGCCCTGAACCCGCTCCCCTTCTCTGCCACGCGGCGCCGCGAGCGCCGCCGCACCGGCGAAGGCCCGACGGGGTGCGAGGCCCCGTCGACCGATGAGGAGCGTGGCCTTGAAGAGCCAGCTTATGGTTTTTACAGGACTTACGACTGCCTCATATTTTTGCTAACTGTTCTTCTTTTCAGCAGTGGGACCTGAAGTCTCAATATCGCTATTCTGAGATCCTTTCTCTTGGGGGTGTTCGGCTTTTGGAGGTCTTTATTGTCTCAGGCCGGTCGTCTCGGAGGACGTCTATTCTGCTCGGCAATAAGAAGGAACCCAAAAGCGAACGTCTTAGGAAAAGTTGCACGTAGGGACTCTAAGACTTATAAAGCTCATTGCCAAGTCGGTTTTAGGTCTTGAAGACAACACCGGAGCTTTTGCAGCGAGTCTCTGCCCGAGTGCTGCATGAGCAGATCCGAGCACAGCACGTGAAGCCAAGGCTGAAATCTGTACAATGCGGCGCAGCGCGACCCAGCCTTAACCGACTCAAACCCCTCAAATCTGCCAGGCGGTCTCCACTGCAAGCTGTTTCTGCCCTAGCACTGTAATTACCAAGTCGAGAAGAGATCTTCCCAAAACACCCGCTCGCTGAAAGATCCGTTGCCCGGCTATGAGACAAAACTTCACGGCATAGCTTCACCTGCTCAGTCCCCGTGTCCACGTGGCTAGAGTATGCCCATGCTTCTTTCAGCAGCACTTTGGAATTAACTCTAACACGCCAGATGTGGCAGGCATAGGTACGGACTCTGTGCAGGAAGCCGCTATTCTATACTTGCAAGCAGGTGCTCTAGAAACCGCCTCGCAGTCGCAGCACCAAGTGAAGGGTCGATTCCTTCTGGATGTTGTAATCAGAAAGGGTACGGCCGTCTTCCAACTGCTTGCCAGCGAAGATCAGGCGCTGCTGGTCGGGCGGGATGCCTTCCTTGTCCTGGATCTTAGCCTTGACATTGTCGATCGTGTCACTGGCCTCAACGTCCAAGGTGATCGTCTTACCCGTCAAGGTCTTGACAAAGATCTGCCTACCGCCTCGCAGGCGCAGCACCAAGTGCAGGGTGGATTCCTTCTGGATGTTGTAATCAGAAAGGGTACGCCCGTCCTCTAACTGCTTGCCAGCGAAGA